TATCAGTTCTTCCAAAGTGCTACGCTTATGGTTTTATTATATTGTGAAAGTTGCAACTAAAATAACTTGATATTAAAATATAGCATTTCTGATAAATAATAGTTTTAGATACAATTCATCCGGTCATTGCATCAAAATTAAATCAAAGTTCTTTTTATGATATAGGTCTTCTCATTCTTCAATCATCCAATAGGCATCCCTTAGTGCAGAGCAGCAGGAATGGTGCCAAACACAAGTCAACAAGTAAAAATTATAGTCCATAATAAGCAAATTTTGAATCCGCGAAAAAAATGACGATCAATATTTCAAGACTTTCCAAATTGGAGTGTTGTTCCCCTTTAATAGTAGGTAGTGTTAGAAATTGGCACTTGTCCTGTAGTCCTTGCCAAACTGCCCAATAGTAAAGGTATCATAAGGACTAGTAGAAATTTGCCATTTTTAAGGGATTTGCTACATGTTATCATTATAAGTGAGTGAGTGAGTATGGTTTTACGCCGCTTTTAGCAATATTCCAGCAATATCACGGCGGGGGACACCAGAAATAGGTTTCACACATTGTACCCATGTCGGGAATCGAACCCGGGTCTTCGGCGTGACGAGCGAACGCTTTAACCACTGGGCTACCAGACCGCCCCTATCATTATAAGGACTAGCGGACTAAAAAGGTAGTTTCAACACCTGGTAGGACCTGCATGGTTTGTTTGTTTGTTGTTTAACGCCACACTCAGCAATATTCCAGCTATAGATATGAAGGCGGTCTGTAAGTAATCGAGTCTGGACCAGACAATCCAGTGACTGACAACATGAGCATCGATCCATGCAATTGGGATCAATTACAAGCATAGTCACCTTTTATGGCAAGCTGAAGACCAATTCTACCCCGGATCTTCACGGGTCGAAGGACCTGGTGATAAAGTAAGTTTCTTACACACCTGTGGGTGAGAAACCCATTTGAGATAACTGGTATCAAACATATCTGTGAGATCGAATTCCAGGCCAGTGATTGGCTACTCCATGGTGATGGCCTGAGGTCAGATGATGACGGACTACTTTTCTGATTGCAAGTCATTGATAACTTGCTCGTGCTTCAGTCGAATGTTCACCTACGTCTGTGTTGAACCACAGGACGGTGTAATTAATAATAATAATAATAAACAAACTTGTCCTCTTCTGCGAGTTTGTTCATTATTATTTTCAGTTGTTATGTTATCTGTTGTTATGTCAACATTATCGGGTTTTTTATAGTGTGAACACATATGTCCCTCCTCTTCAACCCTCACTTCGAAATCGAATAAAATTCAAAATACATCACGCAAACTAATACACATCACAGTTTTGAATTCCCCCTTCTTGTCCATTGTATTGACTACATTTTTAATTTTTCGTTAAAATCTTTTTGAGATTTGCATCTGTATATATTTTTACATACTATAGAGCCAACTCAACATAAAAACCAATGTTTCCAATTTTGGGGGGCCATAGTTTGCGAATAAATGATGCTCAAACTTGACCACTTTATGTCAGTGTAAATGACAGCAATAATGACTAGTTGCAGGTAAATATTATGAAAACAAGTTATCTCCCCTCGTAATATTGACCTTTGAAGTCAACATGGCTGAGACAACTCTGACAAAAAGAGTTTTTCCTTCGTCAAGGAAGCATTATCATCAACCAAGACCCGCTGAAATTCATCTTAATGGGTGAGTGAATATTAATAGAATATTATGACCTGTGCTATCTATGTTGGTTCATTGATAATTATTGAGAAATTGAACGACCATGATTACTTGATAATAACATGATTGACAACATAGTCTTGATCTGTTTTATTAAAAGTATATTTCAGCCATTTGCCACATATCAAACTTAACTAGAAATGCTTCCTGGCATATATTCAGTTGCAGGAAATTTCAATCTTAGCTAAAGATATGCTTCATAAAAGTTATATGCTGTCTGATACCTTGGGGTCCGTTTAGGGATTCAGTACAATTTCATTTGTGAAATATTGCAATTATTCTTGTTTCTTAAATTTTTCATAGATAATTTATATACTTTTACATACAAGTGATGAACTCAGTGACGAAATAGTTTCAACATTGGCCAGATTTGTATGCAATGTCTACTGTCCAAAAGGCCTCTCCGTGACAGATATTCCAGAGCTCAGATGGTATCTCTTCTACAAACATATGGCAGAGAGTGACAAGCTACCACCAACACTGGGTGCTCTAAAGCAGCATATTCTGAGGGTTCATATTCAAGCTTATGTGTAGGGTCAAGCCAATTTTGCCCTTTAGATCCAATTTGATCCCCTTTAACATGGATTCTATAAGGAGAAAGATAACCGGATCAAACCAACAACAATGGATGTTCTCCCAGCCCCCACAGCTATTATTGAGATTGTGAGGTGTCAGTATAGGAAAGACTGTTTGACCCAAAGATGTACATGTCGATCAAACAACTTGTCATGTACAGAACTCTGCCTCTGCACCTCAGTGTGTGAGAATGACGATGACACAAATATGTCACCTAATGATGGTGATGACAGTAATGACATGTTTGATGACACTCTGTGAATATGATATCAAGATACATATCAAGAATTGTGACTTTATTATTCAAGACTTCAAGGGACCCTTTTGGTGTTATTTGACTATGACAATTCTATGTGACATTTTGAAAATTTAAATGCCAAGGCATTTATGGATACAGATGGCTCTTATGTTGGAACTCTTATGTTGCTGAGTTGCTGGAGAAACATATAACCATAGGTAATTATTGGATATATGACAGTTTTTAAGTGGTCATATGATAATTAAGGTACAATATATTCTTAAACAATTTTACTTTGTGATAGACAGTTGTAACATGTATAAGATTCCATCCACACAAAGATGTATATACGTCCATGATCCACACTACTGATAATATTAAGATATTAGAAAAGTTGAGGTAGTTTTTTTGTTAAGAATGTTAAATCATTACCTGAAGCATGTCTACATTACATATGACTATGAGTAGGCATTGTATCACATATAAACAATTAAATGACAAAACAAACACCTCAGAAGCCTTAGACTTGACTAATATTGGCAAAAATGGCTACCACCTTGAAATCCAAGATGGCCACCAAATGAATGATGGCAAGTTTGGAACATTGGTTTTCATCATCTGTACATTGAAAGCTTTCAGAATATATATAGTTTTGCTCATCTCAATTTTCTTTTAACAAAAGTTCATAAGGAACTGGACTATTCTGTCTACCATTTACTGTCATTTTAGGCAAAGCAAAATTAACGAAAGTGACTTCTGAAAATTAGGTACATTGTTAATCTCGCCAGATCACAAATACACGGCATTATTTACTGCGTCTTTACTGTCACACTGCGTGTTTAGAAATCTAAATATCAGATATTTTAGTGATCACGGGTATCAAATCATTAATGATAATTCTGAAACGTCGCTGATAAGCCTAGAATCGTTTGGAATGTTTTGGAAAATATGCATACACGAATGCCAAAGTGTACATTCCGCCATATTGGATGGTGTTTACAAAATAATGGTTATGAGACGCCTATTCGATCAGGTATATTTCAAACTCAGCTGCTATACATGCATCCCCAAATTTCTCATACATTTTAGAAACAAATGACAAATGGTCTCCGTCACCAGTGCAAATTATCAAGATGAAATCATGTGAAATAAATTAGGTGTGGAAAAGAACACTGTGCTCGGAAAACTGAACTTGCTGAATTGTAAACAAAGCAAAATTCAGATTTTACATTGTGTAGCATTTTTAGAGGTACTTTCATCTAATTGTTGCTTACATTGGCTCGAACACACATTTGAAAATATTCATGGGAAGAGTATTGTTGCACAAATCAAGGAATCACAAATATATACATTACAATGAGGTATAAACGTTTAACTCCGCATTCAGCGTGTTCTTTCTTTTTGTCTAGTTTGCATTATCATCATTGCCTTGATAATCCTCAGATATGGCAGAAACCTTTTCGTGTAGGGTCACATTATTCACAAGTAGTAAGCAGTACATAGGATGACGTCACTTATGACAACTAGTGGTGTCATTTATTAATGCGCTACTGCGATTATCTGAATAGAGAAAATGCATTGATTTGATGCTAAAAAGGTGTGATTTTAGGGTGTGTAAGAAACAGGTTACTGCACTCGTGCCTGTCAGATACCATTGATCTTACAACTTGTTGTTCCAAAGCGTTTCTAACTCGCAGAGATATGTTTTGAAACAACTCGTTGTGATATCAATGGTATCTGACAGGCACTCGTGTAGTAATCTCTATATACGTGATTTTGATAACAGCGACGTCACACGTAGCGCTGGCTTTATCAAAGAAAAAATGTGTATCTTAATTTGTAATGAAATGACTTATTACCTTGTAATATTTGGTGAGCTGATAATTCATCCTTACTGTAGACCATAATAAATCCAATAACTGTGCAATATGGGCAATGTTTTGGTTTTCATTCCATAACTTTATGATAACTTCTTTCGTTTCGTAACTCAATATTCTGCAGATTGGAATTTCGATCGGAAGAAAGTTAGCAGACGACAAAATAACGTACGTGTCACGTGACGTTCACGTGATACGCTTGTTAAATATTTATAGAAAACAAGCAATTGCTTCTGGTAGTTACTGTGTGCAGCGGGAAGTTTTTAGTACACGAAAACTGGGCTGTAAAGTCGCCATTATCAAAATCACGAATACGTATCGACAATGACTGAATACATATACAAATAAAGATCTAATAGATACACCTTCGGCCTCGTCAATTTGTTTATTGACATTATAGAATATTATCACAGTTACATGGTTCTGTGCATAGGTTCACATTTGATTAAATTGTTCAGTAAAGGCAATACCCACCCCATCGGACTAATTAGTACAAGCGAACCGGAACATGTTATTGTACAACGAATGGACTGGGTATATACCGTAAAAGACAAAGATTAGACGTGTGCTTACCCCAATAGGTGTGTTAAAATTAGCGAATGCCAGTGTCCATACCAACGACGGTTGCAAGCGTCTATTGAAACAAATTATTCTTAAAAAATGACACCATGAAGGCAACCTTAACAATGCGCATGCTTAAAGTATCTGGTCATACCCTTTCCCGGAAAAAGCCTCCTTTCGGTTTAGAGGTGTTGTTTCATGAAAGCGAAAATACACATGAATATGATATGGTGTCAACTGAACCACTGGAATCAATATACTTTGAAACAATACGACCCATACCGTATTTATCATACAACATATAAACACAACTTTCTCTGTTACAAGCTGGATCTCATAGACAAGTCCTGTGGACGAAAACGTAATGGTGACCTACATGTATAGTTAGGGACATGAAGGAGAATGTATATATGTTCCTCGCTCTGGTGCCCATTTCCAGTCAAGCTATTGATATGGTTGTGTGAAATATAAATAAGGTAATATTTAACACTTAGGTTGATTTTTATAATTGAATTTAAGATAGCAGACAAACAAAGGTGTTTTTGAATTACCTGAAGCAAATTTGCTGGGACTGTCAATTTTGGCACAAGTCTAGTCCGCTTACCTTGGAGTATCAACTATGAATAATTTAACAAATGTATCAATACCAGTGTTCTAAATTTAAATGGAACATTTTTGCTTACCTCAACCTAGGACCCACGGAGTCGCCATTACAATGTTGTCGCACAGACGACGTCAATGTGAGTTAAGCTGTGCGCGCGCACCTTTGAATGATTAGTTGGTATCCAAGAAGTACAGGTGGGTTTTTTTACAATATAACTTCAGTCTACTTTCATTTTCGGTTCTTTGTTCAGAAGCCTAACTTGGAGTAAGTGATGTATACCTATACATGTTGAATGGTCAACTTTTAAATTTAGAACACTGGGTATACATGTACAATGTGTGAGCTGTAATATGGCTGGAATATTGCTAAAAGCGGCGTAAATCCATACTCACTCACTCTCAATATCTACTCAATGTTGAAAGGTTACACTGGGTATATAAATGCATATATTTCAGACCGCCTCCGTGGTCTCGTGGTAGAACGTCCGCCCGGAGAGCGGAAGGTCTGGGGTCCGATCCCCGGTCGCGTCATACAAAAAGACGTTAAAATATTGTACTTGTTGTTACCCTGTATGGCGCTCTGCATTAAAGGGCTAAAACAAGGACTGTTCGGCTCGGGGTCAGTATACTGTGTCTGAGTGGGGTATTCATGTTAAACTGCAGCATGGTATCTCAGTGAGCTAGCACTATAAATGGGCATCAGTCCGGACTAGTACAACCAGCCACACACACACATACATGCACGTCGCTATATAAGTGCAATAATCTTGGACGCGACGTTAAACCCAACTTCACCTCATCGCATATATTTCAAAGTGCTGTACATCTCTATACATATTGCATATGTATTGCATTGGCATACTGGGTCTGTCACTTTCGGTTACTGGTCTGACGAAACTTATTTAATTATGTACACTTACATAGTATAATATTTGTAACTGTGATGAAGATCAACAATGGTTTTATGACTATATGTACCGATAATGCATCTAAAACGAAATGTTGAATGCATGGTATAGTCCCAATAGTGAGTACTGTACATGTGCGATGTGGTATGGCGTACATGTGGGGCCCTTAATGTTTGCAACAATGACTTTTGCAACACGTAAATACAGAAATATGAAATTTAAAGGATCTGTATTTTTAACTACAAACGACGTTGTTTTTTTTATTTGTAAAGGAATTAGTTAATAGTTTTCCGATCATTCTAACGTTTTCTATGACAGTATAGCTCGGAGAAACAACCTAATTATTCATGTAACCACTGACATCAAATATTGTAATCAACCATTTGATACTTTGAAACTATAGACTGTAACAAGGTAGCAGTACTCAGGAAATTAGTATCTTGTTCATGCATTAAGCATATAATGTTGGTTGCATGCGTTCTTATGAATTGTATGTTGAAATTACAATTCCCCAAAGAAAATGGTATCAGGTAACTAGTTGATGTCTCCCAGTCCCAGTCAACATGATATATCCACACTTCATTGATTGGTAATGCATTTCTTTTCTTGAAAATGGGGCGGTGGGGTTTCCTAGTGGGTAAAGTGGTAGCTGTTCAGGCCGAAGGCCTAGTCCTATTCCCCTCATAGGTACATGTACAATGTGTGAAGCCCATTTCTTGTGTCCCTCGCCGAGAGTTTGCTGGAATATTGCTAAAAACGTCGTAAAACCATCCTCACTTACTTGAACTTAAAAAAACCCCGCACAACATCAAATGTGCCGGAATGTGCCAAATTAATGTAACTCCTCTAAGGTAAAAACATGAAGTGTTTTAAACTTGCATTTATGATTTTCCCCTTTAGTTATCGATATTTTTAATTCATTAAAAGGGTATTTAAAATAGTACCGGATAACTTATCAACCATCACTCCTTGTCAAAATAAAACTGCCGGGCAAAAGAATGTATACACCCATGTTTGATGGTGGCTAAGAATGGGGGGGGGGGGGGGGGGAATGGTTACTCGATGGTGATGTACCGGTATTTGATACGTGTAATATATAGTTGTGTTTCAGACCTGAAATTTTCAGCGTTTCGATGACTGTTTTCAGCCTGATAACCTTGTAATCTTTTGGTCAAATCCAGTTTTCAAGTGCATACTTTTTTGCCCTGCAGATGACTCCAATCTTATAGTGACTCTCATATCATTAATTAAAAATGCCTATGGGATGAGGCCGTCAAATCAGCTGTTTCAATCAGAGGTGGTTATTATGATTTGAAACCCCTGATTGACCAATCAGAGTCCAGTATTTTCGAAATTCATGGTAGAATTATCATTGAACCACATGTCATGCCCTTGACTATTACAGCTTGTTTGTTGTTTAACGCCGCACTAAACAATATTCAACCCGGCTGCTCGTACATAATCGATACATCACCAGGCAAACCAGTAATTGATATTCTAAGCAATGATCCACGCTTTCGAGATGAGATGGCACCACTCAACCACGTTACCGAGTCTGACCACCCCATCCATTACGTTGCCTCTTACGACAAGCATAGCGCTACTTGGGAGTCCCTACAGGGTTTGAACATTAACATGGTGCAAACGTATCACTATGGTGTTGGTATATATTTAGAAATACTTCAGAATCTATACATCTCTTAGACATGGTGGATATGGCATTGCTTCATAATTTTATTGCAATTAATTCATATGAAATGTGTGTACTATTTGTTAAAGTTGTCCATGAAAAGAGAGTTTTTAAAATGTGTTTCACGCATTGCAAAGACAATGTCAAATTTGCCACGCTGCCACCCTTAAGTGAATGTGTCTGAAAAACATTATTGTTGAAATTACTTAAATACGAGAACTACTTTCGTCTTTCGTTAGTTTTCTTCATCAGATTTTAATATCTTACTTAAAAAATAATAGTTTGCAAATAAAAGATGAACAGATGAGAAAGAATGAGTTGAATGGCCTGCCAAATATACTTTTGTACCAAATAATATATTAGTATTTATATCAGAGAGATTCAAAACTTAAACAACAGGAGTAAGCGGACGCTGCTGTAACGCCTACATCAATTTTAGTATATGAACCGGGTAGCATATGAATTATCGTTCTTGTTTGAAGTAGTTCTCGTGTTCATACGCAAATATGGAAACCTTCGAGAGGGGAACGAATTTACATTCGGCTTGTCCCGGAATGGGACAAGTTGGTCACGAATGTATACAAGTATGTGTAGGGGAGTGGGGGGAGAGAGTGGATGAAACAGACGTCGACCACTTTGGTTATACTCACGAGCGCGGGTAATGTGCCGGTGTCACGAAATATGTTCGCCCCCAGAATAAAATCTCCACCCGGCGAATTTATACCGGTACAGTTCCGCCCCTCTCGAAATAAAATTTCCCCCACCCTACGAAATAAAATCTCCCCCCCAGAATATTTCCTCCCCCGGTCGTTTTATAAATACTTGCCATGCAGTCCAATAGTTGAGGGCATTGCCTAAAAGTCGGACCGATTTTGTTTCGCGGTCATAACCGCGCCAATGGAAATACTACATCATAAATGAACTGTTTCGATTTGCGCGGTTTTACCAACCGCTAGGGCTAGCGGTTAGCAGTTGGTGAACCGGCGCCAAACCGCGCACTATGGAAACTAAGTCGCCGAACTTAAAAGCATAGTTTTTGCATAGCATTTCAACCGCCTCCCTAAACGTGCCCCAAACCGCGTGGCAACTTTACAACAGTAACCGTTCATTTGTTACATTAAGTCATTTCATTCAAATCTGTTTGGTGTGATTATGTCTTATAATTATTTTCGGGTGGAAGGTACAATTACCAAATAAAATATGCTGAAATATCAATTCATTATGACCATATTTCATAATCTATTTTTTAAAGTAACCCTCCTTACATTTAAGAGAGTGAGTATGGTTTTACGCCGCTTTTGGCAATATACCAGCAATATCACGGCGGGGGACACCAGAAATGGGCTTCACACATTGTACCCATGTCGGGAATCGAATCCGGGTCTTCGGCGTGACGATCGAACGCTTTAACCACTAGGCTACCCGACCGCCCTCCTTACATTAAAGATAACTATTTTAAGAATATAATATTATATAGTACTTAAAGACATTGCAACAAACCGAAAAATCAGGAGGGAGACTTTATACTGAGGGAGGCGCGAAATATATCCGCCCGGGGGAGATTTTATTTCAGAACGGTATAAAATCTCCGGGGGGAGAATTTGTACGGGGGAGAGTTTATACCGGGACACCGGCAGACCTAAAAGAATTATCGTTGTGACTCCGATCCCACGACCAGCCAGCTATAAGCCACATACAACTACCCTACCCACACCACTTTATATTTGGAATGATGTCATACATATTGATCTCTGATGTTGTAACTTTCACTATCATTTCAGGTGCAATAAATACCTCACCTAATTTCTCGGAATACGAATGTTCAACTACGTACTATTCAAACCCACATTGGCCCGGGTTTTTATACAATGGCGTTTAGTATAACCGTGCTGCAC